CGGCCCCCCCGCCGCCACCCGTGTCCGCCCGTCACCCGTCGCGTTCGCCGGTGCGCGGGGTGCAGCGCTGAGGTCGTGAGGGCCGCAGCTCTCCCGTCGGTACCACCCTGTGCCACACTGCGGATGCACCGGGGAGGGGTTAAAACTCCTTCCCGTAGCAGTTAATAAACCAGCTTTCGGATGGTTCCTGCCAAGGGAATCATCTTTTTGGGTTCGTCCTTTAAGTTTTGGAGGGAGTGAAGGCGAATCTTGGCCGCCTTTCTGGCCCAGGTTCCGCTGGGATAGAGTGCATTTTCTTTCATGTGGCTGCTGTGTTTTCAGATTTGGTGTGAAAGGAATGTCAGTAATGTATATTGTTTTAGTTGTTGCTAAGTGGTGTTTATACTAGTCAAGGTCTTTTTTTCAGCTTCCCGCAGAAGCTGAGAAGGAGCGTAGACGGAACAGCGCAATGGCCGGTGGAGTATTCCATACCGCAGATGTCCTGCTCGGTATTTAAATGGGGGTTGGGGGAGGTGGTGGTGATCCGGCAATCTCTGCTCGAGACAGTGCCAATTCACCAGGTGGTGAGAATGACTTGTGTCTTGTATATTCTCTTACCATTATTATTGTTGTTATTTTCCTTTTCCATTATTGTTCTATTAAAATGTCTTTATCACAACCCACAAGGGTTTTTTTCCCCCTTTCCCCTCCTTTTCTCCCTCTTTTCCTACCCTGTGGGGGGGGAAGGGGAGGTGAGCGAGAGGCTGCGTGGTCCTTGTTGCTGGCTGGGATTAAATCACAGCACTTTCCCTTGAGAAGGGGCTCTGCAGTCCCTTCCCTGCCTGCCTGAAGGCTCTGTCCTGCCTACCACATCTTCTCGTGGCTGTCTCCCATGTACACTGCGGATGTCCTTGTGAACTATGCGCAGATGTGGGCTTGGGCTTGTTGAGAACATCCTGTCAGAGGGATTTGAATAGGGCTTAACGAGTCTTGCATTGCATAAAACCCTAAAGCTTGGGAATGACTTAGCTAGTTGCATTTGTTTTCATTTGAGGCGCTCTGCCCAGCCAACCTGGCACAGCGGCAGGACACACCTCGTGGTATCTCGTCCCCTCTGCGGTAGCCTCCTGTGCTGTATTGTGTTCCCGTGGGGATGTGGTACTCATTCAGAGCCTGGTGCAACTGTAACAGCAATGCTTACAATTAAAATGTGGTTTAACACAGATATTAAGTAGTTTCTCTGTATTTTTATGGTGCTGGCAAATGTAACTGGTATTTCGTGGATTTCAAGTACTTGCTTATAGTTGGGCGCAGTAAACTCGACCTGCCTGGAACCCCTGGTGTGGCCAGGGCTGCGTCTTCCCCCCCATTGCTCAGTGACCCCATACCTCTTCCACAAAAAACTGTCATTACTGTTTCTGTGCAACAGTTTTTATGCTGTCGTGCGCTACTAATTTTGTGTGCAATTCTTCTGGTGCCCCTCAGAGCATGCACGATCTTGATTTAGATGAACAGGATCTGCATCGCTGGGGGGAAGTGGTGTATTGTTCACTGCAGGGCTCGAAGGCTGCTTCTGTTCATTTATGCAGATTCTGAAGCATTTAATCCTTTGCATGGGAACCTGAGATGAGAGCTGTTCTCTGTAGCAGACAGATGTAGCCTTTGGCAGTTCATATCGGCGAGCTGAAGATTGCATGAGATGTAAGTAAATTGCAAATAGATCAGATTCATTTTGTATCAGCACATGAAAATGTGCACCTACTCAGACCTAGGCGGAGGCTAAAGCTCAATAATTAATATCTGCGTTATTCCTGTTGAGGCTGGAGGAGAAAGTCTGGTATGCCAGGATCAGTTTGGTACATGTGTGCTCCTTGTCTGAACTCTTTAACTGCAAGACTGAAAATAGTGGAAATTAGTTCCTTTTCCTTTTGCCCAGGCCCCAAGTGCATGTGAAAAATTACAGGAAAAAATTAAGAATTTGGGAGAGGCAGAGTTTGAAATATCAATAAAATATTTATTGCTTATGCTAACAGGTTTTTCCTGTATCTGGGAATTAAAATAAGAATCTGGGTAGTAAATGGAAGGAATCAGCATATGGGTGTGTTCTCAAAAGTCGCTTTCTGCTGTTCCCAGTAAGTGGTGAGGGAAAGGTGATGCATCTTCGCAGGTAAAAAGGGTGTTCCTCTGAGGCCTGCGGCTTTTCACGGGCAGGTCTCATGGATGACAATGATTTTGGATCTTTTCGTGTCAGGGTGTTGCTATTACGCGTCTGTCTGGCAAGGGAAGAAAAAATATTTGTGAGGAATGTTAAGCAACGCTAATCCTAGAGTCTTAGACCACTGCTCGCGTTTTTCAGCTCCGTAATTTAGTGGCGCGCCATCTCCTGGCTGAACTGAACTGAAGTTACAGCACGTCTCGTGTCTCCTGGAAGGAACAACGACATGAGAAGTCTTTTGCCTTAAGTCTGCTGAAATGATATTCAGCTTGGTAGAGGCCCAAAGGCGGCACCACCTGATGGCTGTTCAATGGCTTGTGTGAAATGGCTCTTAAGAGTCTCGGTTCAATTTCCGAACCTCTCACTATAGCACATTTCTCACTACAGTTACACTCCAGGAAGATCTAAGTGGATAATTTGTAATGAGTAATGTGCTCACATGCTGCCTTTTTCTGCTCAGAAGTTTTAACAGATGAGGTAATTTTCATTTGCTATTTGAAACTATTTACTGATAATTTCTGCAAATTAAATGCTCTCAAGCGGTTTGTTCTGTACGTGTGATATCCAGAGGGCTGCTGGTGTGTTGACAGGGCTGAGCCCTGTGGTCTCACTACAGGGCAGTTGCTACAGCTGGGTGACAGACAAGTAACTGGATAAGCTGAAGTGAAGTGACTTGATCCCAAGTCACAGTGAGAGGTGGGAGTAGAGTATAACTGTTCAACCTCAGCAGTTCACTTAATGGAGTAGGAAGCATAAGATTACATCATTTCTTCCCGAAAAGGCACCTTAATAATTCAGGGATATTTAATTTTTTGAGGGGGAAGGGATAGGTCTATCTTCAAGCACAGTAATTGTTGCTTAGGTGCAGCTAAAGCC